ACGCTTTCTCGGATAGTGATCTCCATCATAACTTAATGTCGTAACCATACTACCGTATAAAGCACACAATCGAATTATTTCCTGGTCCACACACTCTTCTTCCCTCAAAAAAAAAAAAATTCGCTAATATATATATTTACTTTTTTTTCTCTATCAAAAAAAAAAAAAGAAAAAAAATGCGACAGTCACCTTTTAAACTACCTAATACCCTCTTGTGTTGGAGCTCTTTAGTAAAAATATACGCCTTTAATATAACGAGGACTCGCGACTCTCGGGGTATTTGATCGGCTCCAGGATAGAGCCTCCCTATCTCTACGGAATCTCTTGGAATCGGTTTTTAATAAGGTTGATAAAGTCAACTTGGGCGGAAAAGATAGGTGGGGACGGGACAAGAGGGGTTGAGGATGTCGGTTACCTGCCTCGAAAGCGGATGTACCGCGGAAATAATTCACGCGTTATCTACGCCATCTTCCCAGGAGTGCAGCATCTTCCTTGGATCTTTAGTAGTGCACCAGCTGCGGGTACACAATGTCACTGTTAACATATATACGAATTCCCTATATATTGCGGCGAAATCCTTAACAAATTTTTCCCTTGTTTAACTCCTGCTTTTCAATTTTTAGTCACTTTTTTTCGTCAATTTTTTTTTTCAATCATTCTTACTCCGTCCTTAACATTCTAAAACAATGGAAGATCATTATTTTTATCCTTTTTGACATCAAATTCCTAGAATATTAATTCCAACGTGAAAAATTTTTATACTTCAGAATTGCCACAAAAATTAAATTTTATTTTTCCCTAAGTTTTCCCTGATTTCTAGAGGCAGAATTGCAATAATTGAATTATTGCTAAGAGATTCATAAAAAATTTGTAAACAATTGAATTCCTGTGAAATGATTATTATTTATGAAAATAATTAAATGTTTGCGAACAAAGTAAAAAAAATTTGTTTTCAATAATTGAATTCTTTTGAAAAATTTTATTAAAATAGTAGATATTGAAAATTATTAAATTAAGGAAAATTTTTAAAAATAATTGAATTTTAGTGAAGAATTTTTTTATTTATCAAGATAATTTAAATCTTGAAGAGAATTTTAAAAAATCTTTTGAAAATAATTGAATTTCTGTAAAGAGTTTTATAGCTTTTGAAAATATTTCAAATTATTTAATGCAATTTTTAACTTTCTTATTCTTTAAATCAATTATTTTCAATAATTTTTTGAAATTTTTCAAAAAATTCAATTATTATTATTATAATAGAAAAAATTTAAATTTAATTCAGAAATTAAAATTATTTTCTAGAATTTAATATATGAAACTTCTTCTTTAATTTCAAATCTAATTCTAAAATTAAAATTATTTTTCAGAAATCTATATTAATAAAATCAGACTTCTGTCTGTACATTGCTCCAAACTTGAAAATTTTTATATATTTTTTCGTTTTGAGACATTAGAATTCGAAAAATGTAAAAAAAATTTCTGTCTGTCTGTATGCAAAACTTTGTTCGCGCATCAATTGAAAACGGTTTAACCAATTAAAGTGAAATTTGGCAGTCTATTAGGTATTAACGTAACTTAAAATCATAGCCTTATCCGATTAAAAAATATTAACTTGAACGAAAGTTATGACATTTTTCCAAAAAATTCGAAAAATAAAAAAAATTCAAATTTTTTATTTTTTGTAAAATTAATGCAAAACTATCCTTAGCTAACTTTTTCAGATAAATACAACCCACTTCTATAATAAAATTTTTAAAAAAGACGTATTTTGAAATTTTTTATCGGCTTTTTTAGATCAACTTTTTTATAAAAAAATAGTGATTTTTAATCTTTATGCAAGCTTTTCAGAAAAAGTTATTAAAGTTTTTTATTTGAAGATCAGTATGTAAAGTAAAAAAATTTGCTACATTAGACAAAAATAATGAAGCTAAATGCCATAAAAAAGAAGAAAAAATGTTGAATTTTAAGAAATTCGGATTTTTGAATTTTTGATAATTTTCGATAAATTTAGATTTTTTACTAAAGAGTGGAGACTATTAAATAAGTAAATTATTTTTGAAGAGCACAAAAATAATGAAGCTAAATGCCATAAAAAAGAAGGAAAAATGTTGAATTTTAAGAAATTCGGATTTTAGAATTTTTGATAATTTTCGATAATTTTAGATTTTTTACCAAAGGGTAGAGACTAATAATTAAGTAAATTATTTTTGAAGAGCACAAAAATAATGAAGCTAAATGCCATAAAAAAGAAGGAAAAATGTTGAATTTTAAGAAATTCGGATTTTAGAATTTTTGATAATTTTCGATAATTTTAGATTTTTTACCAAAGGGTAGAGACTAATAATTAAGTAAATTATTTTTGAAGAGCACAAAAATAATGAAGCTAAATCCTATAAAAGAGAGGAAAAAATGTTGAATTTTAAGAAATTCGGATTTTTGAATTTTTGATAATTTTCGATAATTTTAGATTTTTTACCAAAGGGTAGAGACTATTAATTAAGTAAATTATTTTTGAAGAGCACAAAAATAATGAAGCTAAATCCCATAAAATAGAATAAAAAATGTTGAATTTTAAGAAATTCGGATTTTTGAATTTTTGATAATTTTCGATAATTTTAGATTTTTTAACAAAGAGTCGAGGCTACTAAATAAGTAAAGTATTTTTGAAGAGCACAAAAATAATGAAGCTAAATCCCATAAAAAAGAAGAAAAAATGTTGAATTTTAAGAAATTCGGATTTTAGAATTTTTAATAATTTTCGATAATTTTAGATTTTTTACCAAAGGGTAGAGACTAATAATTAAGTAAATTATTTTTGAAGAGCACAAAAATAATGAAGCTAAATGCCATAAAAAAGAAGGAAAAATGTTGAATTTTAAGAAATTCGGATTTTTGAATTTTTGATAATTTTCGATAATTTTAGATTTTTTACCAAAGAGTCGAGACAATTTAATAAGTAAATTATTTTTGAAGAGCACAAAAATAATGAAGCTAAATCCCATAAAAGAGAGGAAAAAATGTTGAATTTTAAGAAAAACGGATTTTTGAAATTGTTCGAATTTTTGATAATTTTAGATTTTTTACCAAAGAGTCGAGACAATTTAATAAGTAAAGTATTTTCCAAAAGCACAAAAATAATGAAGCTAAATCCCATAAAAGAGAGGAAAAAATGTTGAATTTTAAGAAATTCGGATTTTTGAATTTTTGATAATTTTCGATAATTTTAGATTTTTTACCAAAGAGTCGAGACAATTTAATAAGTAAAGTATTTTCCAAAAGCACAAAAATAATGAAGCTAAATCCCATAAAAGAGAGGAAAAAATGTTGAATTTTAAAAAATTCGGTTTTTTGAATTTTTGCTAATTTTCCATAATTTTAGATTTTTTACCAAAGAGTCGAGACTATTAAATAAGTAAAGTATTTTCCAAAAGCACAAAAATAATGAAGCTAAATCTTATAAAAGAGAGGAAAAAATGTTGAATTTTAAGAAATTCGGATTTTTGAATTTTTGATAATTTTCGATAAATTTAGATTTTTTACTAAAGAGTGGAGACTATTAAATAAGTAAAGTGTTTTTGAAGAGCACAAAAATAATGAAGCTAAATGCCATAAAAAAGAAGGAAAAATGTTGAATTTTAAGAAATTCGGATTTTAGAATTTCTGCTAATTTTCCAAAATTTTAGATTTTTTACCAATGGGTGGAGACTATTAAATAAGTAAATTATTTTTGAAGAGCACAAAAATAATGAAGCTAAATGCCATAAAAAAGAAGGAAAAATGTTGAATTTTAAGAAATTCGGTTTTTCGAATTTTTGATAATTTTTTATTTTTTGCTTCAAAATGTGTTTTTCAAAAATTTTAATGAAATATTTTTAAAAAATCAATTATTTTAAATAAAATTTAAAAAGAAATTTGATAAAAGTGGTATTTTGTTGCAATATTTGAAAGAAAAGTCAGAAGGTCGGATTTTTCGAAAATAAGTCGAGAAAAATTACCTTTTTTGAAAATAATAGTAAAAAAGAAACAAAAGTTCATACCGTGGCTTCTAAATTAGAATTTAAATTAACTGAATTTGAACCTAATTACAAAAGAGATGATTTAGAATTCCACAAATTAAAAATTTGGACAAATTATATTTTTAGAGATTAAACTTTCGAGCTTTTGCTCAAAGAAAAGAAAATATTTTTCAAAAATGAGTAAAATAGTTGAAAATAGGTGAAAAGTCAACGGAAATGGCGTAACAATATTAAAATTAATTTCCACTCCAAAATCCAAGGGAAGAATTTTTTTTTCCATTTTCTCTCCTTGTTTGTAAAATTTTTGAACCGACGGGCAAGTAAAATAATGGTCCGAATTGATTAAGGATCAAGATACAGTGTGCTACAATAAAATAAATTCAATAAATTCAAAATCTTGCATAAAATTTAATTGCCATCCTGTCTTTAGCATTGTACGCATTTTAAAACTCGTTCAAGTTCACATATACGGCGGGCAATCTGTGCGATCGCCTAAAGACACAAAGAATTGCCATAGGGGGTAAAGGGAAAGGGAATGGTTGCAAATTCTGGACACGCCATATTTGGAAGCGCAAAGTTCCGGTTCTTCGAGCTAAGCGTTGAGCAACAAGAAACCATCAGGTCCCCAATTGTCTGATTGATTCCAATTAATTACTGTAATTTGATTTGTTTCGCTTTCATGTCTCATGGAATTATCGGCGTATTTACTTTTTACATTTTTATTTCTTTTTTTGGGTATTTTTTGCATTTTTGTTTTAGTTTAGAGAAATTTCTATCCGAATGTAATTTCGATAATTGATGTTGTTATTAATTTCTCGAAGAAATTTTGTCTTTTTGTTTAGAAATCTATATAAGAAAATAATGTTTGCACTCAATTGTTTTTTTTAAGGGAATAAATTGAGTAGAAATTTAGTAATTTTCTTCTTTTGCGTATTTTCAGGAGAATGTGAAGAAAAAAGAGAGGTGACAAAAAAATGTACTCACCCGTTAGATGACTGCCAGTGAATTCGAAGTCGTCATCCTGGTCCCAATGCTTCAGACTTAAATTGGACAGTGATGTGGCGTTGGCGAATTCCAAGTTTGCGAAATGCCAGTCTAATATTTGTCGGTCCTTCGAGGATAAATATACATCGCTGCAAGAGATAAAGAAACAATTTTGAAATTAGATCGATAAATTCAATTTAAATTCAAATTCAAATGTACAATTAGAAATATTCAAAACATAAGTGAAACATATCTTTACAAAATTTATTACGAAATAATTCCTAATTGGCCCTCTTTTAATTAATTAAAGTTAATTGGGTAAATAATTAAAAAATTAATTAATTACCTAAATCAATTAAATTTAAATTAACTTTAAATTAAAATTATCGAATTCTACGACGATAATTCCTATAAATAAATAAATTAAATTAAAATTAAATTAAAGTGTAAATAAATAAATTAAATGGAAAAAATAAACAAAATAAATTAAAATTGAATTTTCTGTTATTATTTAAAAATAACAAATCTTGAAATTCGTAATAAAAATAAAAATACAAGATTGTTAATAGTTTTTGAAGAAAAATTTCTTTAAACACAAACCTTGGAGGAGAGGCTTCTAATTCTTGAAGCTTAGCCTCAATTTCTTTCTGTTGTTCCGCAAGCTGGTCCCACTCCTTTAAAAAATAATATCAAAAAAATTAGAAACAATAATAACAAAACATGCATAATACAAAATAGAAAATCGAAATAATGTTCAGAATGAAAATTTTACTTACTTTACAAACATTATGCAAGTCACGCAATTTTGACCTCAAAACGAACTCCTGCGTAATATCTCTTGCTTGTTTACTGTCCTGTGTTTCTTTATATTGTTTATCTAATTCAACCAAACGTTCCTTAATAGCAATCATCTGGAAAAAAAATTCACCTATTTTAGTCAAATATTTTTTTTTGATAAATAAGGATTCCCACAAAAAATTAATTTCTTTTTTCCCTGGCTTTTCCTTGATTTCCAGGCAAAATTAAGATTTTTAAAAAAATCCAAATTCAAACCTTTTTGAAATTCAACAATTTAATATTATTATAAAACATAATAAAATTCTTAGAAAGAATTCAATTATTTTTCATAAATAATACAATTTTTCATAGAATTTCAATTATTTTTAATACAATTTTAACCCTTAAACCGCACACTTACGAATCCATCCTTAAACCGCACACTGGGTGTGCGACACCCAGGGACTTTTAAGTGTGTTTTCCAAGCTGGAATAGGATATTTTTTTTTGGAAAAATTATCTTATATAGCTCAGTACATCTATTTTGAAGGGTGCGGTTTAAGGGTTAAATAAATTCCTCTAAAAATTGAAATATCAATTATTTTTAAAAATTCATGCTAAACACTTTTAATATTCAATTATTATCTAAAATTTTAACTGAAATTCATTGCAGGAATTCAGTTATTTTAACAATTAATAAAATTTTCCTCGTGAATTCAATTATTTTAAAAAAATCTAATAAAACTCTTTACAGGATTTCAATTATTTGGAAAAAAATTGGATAAAATTCGTTGCAAGAATTCAATTATTGTTATTATAAATAATAAACTTATTCACAGAATTTCAATTATTTTTAATTCAATTTTAGATAGATTCCTCTAAAAAAATTAAAAATTGAATTATTTTTTAAAATTTTATTGAAATTCTTCGAAAGAATTCAATTATCAATTATTTTTAAAAATCCATGCATAAACGCTTTTAATATATCAATTATTATCTAAAATTTTAACTAAAATTCATTTTTAAATAAATTTTTATTAAAAAATCATTATCTTCATATTTTATAAAAATTTAAATTTCCATAAAATTTTCAAACAAAAATTAAATTATTTACAAAAATTTTAGTAAAATTCATTACAGGAATTCAAATATTTTTAAAATTAATAAAATTTTCTTTGTGAATTCAATTATTACATTATAACAATTAATAAAATTTTCCTCATGAATTCAATTATTTAAAAAAAATTGTAATAAAATTCTTTACAGGATTTTCATTATTTAAAAAAAATTTAATAAAATTCATTGTAAGAATTCAATTATTTTCATAAATAATAAAATTTTTCATATGATTTCAATTATTTTTAATACAATTTTAAATAAATTCTTCTAAAAAATTAAATATTGAATTATTATCTTAAATTTTATTAAAATTCTTCGAATGAATTCAATTATTAATTATTCTTAAAAATGCATGCTAAACACTTTTAATATTCAATTATTGTCTAAAATTTTAACTAAAATTTATTTTTAAATAAATTTTTATTAGAAAATTCTAAGAGAATTCAATTACATTAAAAACAAAAATAAATAATTATTTTATTGAATAAATAAATGTTAATAATTAATTTTCAAAGATAATTGAAATTTTTAGCAGAATTTCTTTAATTAAATAGAATTTATGTGAAGAATTGTATTACTTTTGAAAATAATTGAATTTTAATTTGAGGTTATGTTGTACGCATGGCGCCTGTAAAATTAAATTACATTGAATCCTTTAAATATTCCACTCTAAGAATAAAAATACATAAAAATCACTCACTATTTTCAATTTACTATATTTCGATTCATTTTATTCATCCCGATAAATAATTTAATTGGAAATATATATTTAAAAATTACTAAAATGAAAAGCAAGTAAATGTCGAATGACGCATTACTTAAATCTGTACTAATTACACTAGATGGCGCTATTCTTTTTCAAAATTTTGAACACTATTTCCCCCATTACAATAAATGTTAATTAATTAAAATTACACAAGAAAAACGAAAAAAAAATCCTAATTTGTTGTGCGACATTTTGGGACTATAAAATATTTTGTAATTATATTGTACTTATAACTGCGAAATTAGATTTACCTGGAATCCTTTAAATATTCTACTCCAATAATAGAAACACTTATATATCTCACTCACAATTACTTTCTTGATTCACATCATTAAACATGATTAGTAATTTAAATAGATATATTCTTTCTAAATTAATTTAAAAAACAATACAGAAACGACACACAAGTAAATGTAGACGGGGCGGTCTTCTCGATAAATGGCGCCAAAAGTTATTCATTAGTTAAATCTATTTACGCTAGATGGCGCTATTTTTTTGAATTTTTAAACAATTTTCCCGCCATTTATTACAATAAATATCAATTAATTAAAATTACGCTAGATGGCGCTATTTATTTGAACTTTTGAACAATATTCCCGCAATTTATCATAATTATATTATTATAATCTACTATAAATATAATAATATAATCATATTATTTATTACTAAAAGTAAACAAAATTTTCTTTCATGCTTTTAATATTCAATAATTATTATGTAAAATATAACTGAAATTCATTTTTAAATAAATTTTTATTAGAAAATTCTAAGAGAATTCAATTATTTAAATACAAAAATAAATAATTTATTGAATAAATATAAATATATCTATTCATTACGATTTATTACGTGATCGGGATAAATTTTAATTTACGGTTCAAAATATTTCTCAAAACAGTAAAAAAATATTTATAAATACTAATTATTAATTATTAATATATAAAAAAGTGTAAATTGTTTGTAGACAATGATATTTTTAAAATTAATTTTTATAAAACATTGGAAGAATTTGAACTTTCAAAAAGAAACGAAATACTTTTTGACGGAAATATTTTCATAAATAAAAAATTGCAAAATAAAAAAACAGAAAGTAAATAATAATTAAATAATAATTAATTATTATTGTTTAAAAAATTATTTAAAAGAAAAGAAAAAAAAATCTTTTCTCTATTATTTAGAAACTATAATTAATTTTCTATTTATATAGATGCAAAATTGTAGTAAAAATTTAATTTGAAGAAGAAATAAATAAATTTCGCTTCATTTGAACGATTTGAACATTCAGAACTTTAGGATCATGAAAAATTATTAGAAAAATTTAGTATATGAATTGACGTGATTATAAAAATTTCCCCAATTGTTTTACAATAAAATTATTCTATTTCTAAGAAGTAAAAAAATGAAATACTAACTCTATGTTGATTGGCTATAAGTCGTCCTTGCAAGGCCAGGTATTGTCCAAGATGAGTAACTTGTCTTTGTTTAACACCCTGCTCTTGTAATCTTATCACCCATTCGAGAGCTTGTCCCAAAGAAACTGGACGTGTTGGAGTTGGTTGCGTTGCTCCACCAGCATTATTATTAACATAATTAAAATCTAAATGATGCGAAAGATACGAAGTTGCTTCTAGTAAACGATTAAATTCTCTTTCGACCATTTCGTCCTTATCTTTTGGTACCTGAAAAAAATTTATAATTTATTTATAATTTATTTATAAATTTATTTATTTATTAATATTTAATCAAATTTATTCTAAAATTGTACAAAATATTTTAATGTAAAATTATAATAAATTTTAAATTGCAAAAAAGGAGAATAGACAAAAATATTTGAAAAATGAAAACTATAAATAACTTAAATGTTTGTGAAAAATTTTGAAAATTTTGAAATAAGAAGAATTATTAAAATAAATAATAATAAATTAGAAACTTAAATTTTATAATTTCTTTCTTTGAATTATTATAATTATCTCTAAAACTTATTAAATGAAATCACATTTAGGTTTTAATTTGAATTTGTTATTGAAGTTTTCAAATTTTCTAGAGATAAAATTAAAAATTATACTTACAGTTTGACCGTCACTTTCATATAGGGGGCATTTTTGTCTAATTTTATGCAATTCCATATTAATTTGTTTACTGAGGGTTGTTACAGGATTGCCACCAAGACCAGTAACAACCATTGCCCCCAAGTCGGCAATGTAGGACGATTTTCGAAATGTTGCAATTCGTCCACCTACTCTGTCCTGCAAATAATAAAAAAATTAATTTAAATGTTAGATTTAAAAATTAAATTCAAAAGACAAATTTAAAAATTAAAATTAAATGTTAGATTTAAAAATTAAATTTAAATGTTAGATTTGAAAATTAAATTCAAATGATAGATTTAAAAATTAAATTTAAATGTCAGAATTCAAAATAAAATTTTCAAATTTTTATAAAATTGAACAAATAAAAAGTAACATTTAAAAGAAATAATTATCAATAAATGAAGAAGCAATGTTTACTTACTCTAGCTTCCAAAACAATGACCTCCAAGCCAAATTGTTGCATTTGTTGAGCTGCAGCTAAACCTGCAATTCCTGCACCAATTACTATTACTTTGCCTAATTTCTTCGTTGGAATTGGCTGCAAAAAACGATTTTTTTTAATTAGTACCGCTAATTTCTCAATTTACAATTATATGACTTTGTTTTTTTTAAAATTAACACTACCTTGAGTCGTTTAAATACACCAAAATTAATGAATCCGTGTCGTTCTAGAAAAGCATGAACTCGTCGTGCAAGAATTGTGTCACTATTATAAGGCGCCTCAATTTGAGGCAAGGCATTTTCAAAAATGAGTTGTTGTTTTGCATTTTCCAACCATATTTGCAACTGTAAATTAATGACAAACATTATTAAAAACTCAATTTTTAATCTAAAAATTTAATTAATAATTAATAATTTACAATCTTTCGACTACTAAATAATAATTCAATAATTATATTAAGTATTCGGATAAATTATAATTAATCAAATTACTTCAAAGTAATTAAATAATTTCTGTGAAATAATTATTTCATAGAAATAATAGAAATAGTAATTGAATAATTTTCAATATTAATAATCGTTGTATTCCAGTAATCTGTTCGCAGTCAGAAGTTAGTTTTTGTTCGCTTCTTTGTTTCCTACCTTTTTTAATAATTTTTCTTTTTAATTAAGTATTTTCAATTTCAAAATTAATAATTATTGAAAATAATTGAATTCTTGCAAAGAATTTTATCAACAAATTTGAGAATAATTGAATTTCTTCGAAGAATTTTATTATTTATGAAAATAATTGAATTCTTGCAAAGAATTTTATCAAAAAATTTGAGAATAATTTAATTTCTCCGAAGAATTTTATTATTTATGAAAATAATTGAATTCTTGACAAAAAAAATTGATTTCTTGAAATTTTATTGAAAATTATTGAATTTTTGTAAAGATTTTACTATTTAAAAAGAATAATTGAATTGTTTGAAAGGATTTTTAAAAATTTTAGAAAATAATTGAATTCTTTCGTGAAATTTTGTTAAAAGTTTTAAAAAAATTGAATTTTGACAAAAATATTTACCATTTATTAAAATAATTTAATTCTTTCAAAGAATGTTATTATTATTTATGAAAATCATTGAATTCTTGTGAAGAATTATATTTAAATTTTTGAAAATACAAACAATAATAATTAATTATGTACTTAATAAGTGTTTTTTTAATTTTGATTATGAAATTATTCAAATTTATATTTGAAAATAAAAACTTTTATATTATGCGAAATAATAACTAAGCTAGTAAAATAATTATAAATTTATAAAAATAACTAATAGAAATTAGATAATTACTATGAAGAATAAAAATTACTTTATAGAAATTATTTAATTACTCTGAAGTAATTCGATTAATTATAATAAATAATTAAAACAAGAAATAAATTTAAAAAAATGGGTTTAAAAGAAAAAAAATAGAGTAAAAAACTCACTAATCTGTTTCTAATGTGCAAAAAAACTTTTTGAGTCTGTGGAGGTCCATTGGAAACATCAGGAAAGCAAGCTGCTTCAGTTGATGTTAATTTATCGAAAGGAAGACGACTTTGAAATGCAGCACCTTCTAGGCCATTGAGCAATTCTTTCACTAAAGGAAAAAAATATTATATTAAAAAATGAAAAATGCAAAGTTTATCCTATTGACTGTTAGTTAAATGTAAATTTCGTAATAATTACCATGTGGATCTTCGTGATCACTGTCCTGATCTTCCTCCTCCTTCGTTTCACTCTTTGCCGGAATTGGTGGAGGAGCAGTTGCTACTGGTTCCGGATCCTTTTTGGTTTCTATTAAACCCTTCTTTTCCGGTGTTCCCAAACCAGTTTTTGATTTTTCAGAAGTATCGGAAGTATTTTCATCATCCAGTTGATTATACTTCTCCTCCATTTCTCTATATTCAACCTAAAATTTTTTTTAATTTTTAAAAATTAGAAGACAAAATTTTAAAGCGTAATTAACTATTATTTGGTTGAGTGTTAAATTAGTTTCTTAAATGTCACTTTAATTAGTAATTGGAAATAAAATACCTCACATTAACAAATTAATGAAAGTTACAAGTTTTGCTGTATTGAATAAATTGCATATTATTGGTAAACATTGCACCGAAAACGTATATTACACTATATTGTATCATTTTGAATAAAATATAATTCAAAGAAATTTACAAATATTAATAATCTACCCTGACAGAGACTCATTTTCAAAAAGTAATATAATATCAAAAATTATACTTAATCATACAAAGCATATACAAAATAAAAAAACACATGAACGGGGTCAAAACATAACCTCTTCAAATCGTAAACAACTCGGAACAGATACATTAAACTTTACAAACTTTTAAATGCATGACCACACCAAATTATGTTAATAAGTAATAAAATGTCATTTCTACATGTTAGAATAATAAAAATAAGATAATCATCGATGAATTGTTTAAATATATAAAAAATATTTAGTTACCTTTGCTCGTTTTCGGCGACTCATTTTGCCTCGTGCACTCTTCGAATACAGAGTTTGACTACAAGTAAATCACAAAACCCACACAATTCTTTCTTCTTTCACTTTAATCTTAATTCAAGACGTTACGATTTAAAAGTTTTATTAAATAAACTTTCAGTTTTTTTTATAAAAACTCAAAACTAGCATGATGTTTTCCGACGGGCACTAACACAATTGCACGAGCAGTACTGACAACGTTTAGAAATGAAAATCTGAACGTGGACGCAATGCGCATTCGCAAAGTTCCAGTTATGCCAACCTGCAACAATTTAAAAAGTAAACATAACCTTATTTTCTATTTATTATTAATTTCATTTATTTTGATTTTTCTATTCAATTATTTTTAATTAAAATTTAAAGTAATAGTACATAAATAATTAAACGACAGAAATTGAAAATTGAAACTACTTTCTTATTATTTGATTCGATTTCGATCTCAGTGTTTTTCATGTAAATAGGGGTTACATAACCCAAAATCCAGTTACAATAAACAATTTAATGTGAATAATTATCAAAATTTACAAAAACAGTTTTGCCTGCAGTCGGCTCTATTTTTGGTTAAGTCACGCAGGAATTGGAATTTACACCTGCCGTGTGTTTTTATTAAAAAAATTCCACACGTCGTATTATGGTGTATTTTGGAAAGTTGATGAAATTTTTGAAAATAAAATTCTCCTGTCATTTTGTGTTTATTAAATTTACTCTGGAATATTTTTGAGAACAATGACGACGGGACGACGAAGAGCATCACATTCAAATTCAGGGAATTCATTGTTCAATTCCTCCGGGAGTTTTCGATCTCGAACACTTAATTTTCGACCTAATTCCACACAAGAGGATCGAGGAGGTACGAGACCAACAGCTGTTCCAAGTTCAATTGGTCTTATTTTAATAACAGCAATTCTTCATATTTGTAAAAAATCCCTGCTCTTCGATACAAAATTAAAAGTTGCTTTATATCTCGGAGCTCTTTTTCTCGGCTCTATTGTTACCGATGCAATCAAGGTGCCAAGAAGTTATTTTTCCAGGTAAATTTACAATTTTTCAGAACAATAAATTAAATATTATGAGGTAAATTAAATGCGTAAATAAGATTTAGATCGAATTAATTAATTAAGAATAAACGATTCTTTTTTTAGATCGGATAATGCACTGAATCGGTATTTTATAAAATGGGCCTGGGGATGGCTGCTGACGACAATGATACCATGGGTTGTGTTAACAGTGCACACAATTGGTTGTGGTCGACGAATTATTTTAATAAAACACATGACGCGTTTGATTTTCGCCACGTGCGCTTGGATTCTTTGGATAAATTTGTTTCACTACATTGAGACAAATTTCGGAAGGTGCTACAATACGAAAGATATTCTTTTACAGGAGAAATCAAAATGCCTTCAAGTTGGTAAATTTTGGAGTGGTCTCGATATTTCTGGACATGCTTTCATTATAATTTACTCGAGTCTTATTCTTGCCGAGGAGGGTAGAAGTTTAATTGGATGGGAAGGAATAAAAGATTTAATAATACAAGAGGAACATACGAGAACAGTTGCAACGGAAAATAGTACGGGTCCATTGAAGAATTTATGTGATGAGGATTTTCAATTTTTGAAAAAAGCTTACAAAGTATTGACACCATATTTACGTGGTCTCTTCATAACAATGACCGTGCAACAATTATTATGGGACATTATGCTCGTGGCGACAATTCTTTATTATCATAATATGGCGGAGAAATTTCTTGGCGGTGTGGCAGCAATTTTCACATGGTACATGAGTTATCATTGGTTATTTAGAATGACAACATTGGGATGTACGTGCCCTGGACAGGGACTCTTTAAATATGCCGCTGAGCCAAAAATAAATATCGAGAATAATTCTCGTATGCGAAGAAATACGTTAAATAACACAAGAACGAGGTATGGATTTATCGGTGTATTGAGAAGTATGTTTTTTAATTAAAAAATAATATGACACCGAAGAAATAAATAAATGCTTTTCTAGACAAACTGCTGTGGTAATCAGGGAGTCTAAAAAAGTTAATTTAGCTTTAATTGAGAAAAAAAACGCAAAACATTTAGTACAAATAAATTTATATAAATAGAATTTGTCGAACCATGATTTAAGCATTTTACACTTTGGTGAGAATTAAGATTTTTATTTATTAATCGATTAATAGGGGAATTTATTTATTAAAGGGAAAATTGTGACAATTTTTCCGAGTACGAATTTTTTTGTACTCTGAATGCCATTTATTAAAATGTAATTTTTAATTATTTTAAATGATTTTAAATGATTAGTTATTTAAATTATTAAAATTCTAATAGTTTATTATTTTTTGGTGTCTGTGAATGTCATTACGAATTTAAAGAATTAAATTTCTTTACTTGTAAATAATCCAAACGCACTGAACAAATAACGAATAATTTTTTATATTATAATGAAAATTTGTAAAAGATTAACAAAAAATTCAAGTGAAAGTAATGAAAAAAAAAATTATTTCTTTATATATTTGTATTTGTCGTGTGTTTTTTCTTGGATTGTTATTTTATTGTAAATCTTTCAAATTGTACAGTTAATAATTTTAAAACATATTCCTGTTTTGCTATCAAAGATTTATCGCAGAATAATAGATATTTTTAATATACATTACATGATTCATTAAATCAATATACAATTGTTTCTATTATTCAGCAAAATGTAATTTCATGAAAAATTTGAAAATAAATTAATCAATTTGATACAATTAAATTTTGTTTAATTTCAATAATTTAAAAGAGAAAATACGAGTTTATAAAATAATTTTATTATTATAAAAAGAGGTACAAAATTTCACTCAAAATGTTTAAAAAAGAAACTTTTACAAAATATTCTTAAAAACTATTTTACATACATTTTTTTTCACAATCTTCTAAATCAGTAAATCTGTTTTTGTTTCCCATGCAACCTCCGTAAGTGAATTGTTCGCATTTTTTCTCTTTAGCATTAAAAGCGTATTTTTCTATTGAACCAAAACAAGGGCCTTGATCAATCGGTTGTGAACATTCTGAAATATAAAAAATTATTGAGTAAGATAAACATTTTGAAAATATAAAAGAATAAAATTAAATTTTAAATATAAGGAAAGAATTCTGGATGAAATTTAAATTCCAAATGTAAACGAATAAATTGAGATATAACCATTTGGGATTAATTTAGAATTTTTAACGATTATGTATAAATTTTAATTTTAACCACATTTTTCTTTATTTTACCTTCACAAGCATCTTGACAATCTTTTAATTCAGTAAATCTGTTTCCATTGCCATGACATCCGCCGTATTCAAATTTCACACATTTTTTTTCAGTTGAATCAAAGCCATAAGACGGAATAAATGCACGACAAGTGCCAATTTCAATTGGTTGCGAGCAAACTGTAAATAAATATTTAAATTAATAACAAATACAAAAAAAAATAAATAACAATAAATTAATAATAATAATATTAATAATAATAATAATAATTTAATAATAATTAATATTAATAATTAATTATAAATTAACAATCATTAATAACAATAATAATAAATAAAAATAAATTAATAACAAATAGCTGAATAAAATATCAAATAATAAAAATAATTATAATTTATTTATTTATTTACCAAAATAAACAAGATAATAAAAATATAATATTAATTATTATTAAATAATGTCAAATAGAAAACAATTCAAAAAACTTTAATAAAATATGAACAATTGAAATAAAACATAATTATTATAATTGAATAAGAAAAAAATATTTTTATATTAAATTGCTTTTCAATTAATTTTAATTTTAAATAAATATTTATTTACAATAAATGTTTATTACCGTCAGTAATGTTTGAATCCAATACAGCCGCTGAAGTAATTACTGTTTGTAGAATTAAAACACAAACAGAAAAAACACTCAAATGTAAAACTTTTGCCATTTTGATACTTTTACAACAAATTTGTTTGTAGAAAAAAATTTTCGACTGCCTCTGATGAAATGTGAATTGGAAATAATAGTTCAAGAATAATAGATCTGCTTTTATATAGAAAAAAACGAGATGTGGTGCGGGTATTTGGAAGAAAGAAAAATAAAAATAGAATTTCCGCTTTTTCTATTAAAAGTTCTAAGATGACGCATAGGAATATTTGATATTTGCTTTTTTTTACACTCGAATTTCTAAAACACACACTGCTGACATTGAAATTTCCATAAATTTATTTATTTCGAAAAAATATTATCTTTGGAGAACTTTATAAATAAAAAAAAAAAAAGAGTCTGTTTTTAGACGCGATGTTTCCAAGAAAGCACGTGTGCTGTCAAAAATATAATAAATTCGACTAAGAAAAATACAATCAAGTTCAAAACTTTTTTTTTTGTTCTATGAGATAAGAAAAATTTTATTCTGTAAATTAATTAATTTTGCTTTGAATTTACAAAAATTAAGGAAAATAAACAGATTTATTAATTTTTCTTTTTTGTTTTTAGTAAACTTTTTACAAAATACTTCAGAAAATTAATTAAAAATTTGTTTTCAACTTTGAATATTTTGAAAATCTCCGCCCGTTTTCATGGCTGCCAACGTACAAATTTCCCCTTGTTCAAAAGTTAGTTTACCATGTTTACGAAACTACGAACAATGTTATGTTTAATTTAAATAAATTACTAAATTCGCCTTTTGTTGTTTATAAACAAGTTACAAAAATAAATTGTTCTTTTTTTCCGTAAATTAATTTTTCTGAATTTTTCTTTAATTTCAACTTACCAATTGGCAATCCTGGTAGAGAGATCGAAATTTCGATAGTATCGTCGTACTGCGTCGTACTTCCATCTAGCATTCTTTAACTACCCATCCCTGCTTAATTCCCAGTTTATTTTTATTTCAAGTGCCGAAGTGCGTGAATTTTGGTGAAAAGTTAAAGATCACAACATCGGACTCTCGGAGAGAATTACCTAGTTGTGCTAACTTCAGGTGCATTGTTTTAAGACCGCGCATGCCGTGCATTACTGAACACCTGCAACAAAAATGGCCAGCTTAACACAAAATTCGAGTGGTTTTCTCGCTAAATTATCGGCATTAGTTGGTGCTCCCGAAGATGCCCTTTGTCTTCTCATGTCCATTCTCTTAGGTAATATAAATTATCAATACTTTCTCTTTAATATTCTCCAATTTTTCATTGAACATTCATTGCTTTCACTTGTTAGAATTCATTAGGTAAGACTATAGAACTAAACATGTAGTTTGCATTATATATTGAAGTTATTCAATTCATATTACAAGATTACAAACTTTATAATATATATAAAGTTGTTCTATATAAACGTTTTGGGCTCATAACCTTTTTTTATACATATATATACAACAAACTAATATGGAGTTTGCCCGATAGAAACCAGTTGCTTTTTTATCTTTTTAGGACAAATTTTCTATTTTGACATATTATGGGATACTTAAGAACCTAAAGTTCTGAACGTTCAAATGAACGAAATTTATTTATTTCTTCTCCAAATTAAATTTTTATTGCAATTATTTTGCGTTACTATCCAAAAAATTAATTACTGAGTTTCTAAACGTAAATATTTCAGTTTTTAAATTTGTTTGTGATAAGTAATTTATTAAAATATCTTCAATAAAAAATATTTCGTTCATTTGAACGTTCAAAACTTGGGGATCATGGATACTTTAGGTTATTCAATTTAGAATTTAGAATATATGAATTTTTTAGATGAATCTCTTTTGATCATAACCTTCCTTTTTTACATACACATGTACAACACATTAATACGGAGTTTGCCCTTTGATATCACGAGTTACTTTTTTTTTATTATCTTTTATGGTATTAATGAATAAATGATTCATATAATTATTTCTATCACTTTAGTGAGAAAACTTCGCTTTCTATATGTAATAAAAAGTAAAATTCAACAAGTTTTTTAATGCATAAAGGTAGAAATATTCTTTCACAAAACATTTTTTTTTAAATTTCTCATTTGTAACATTATGATAATAATAATATTCTCATATATTTTTTCTCCAATATTTTTTCTGCCTATTTTTATTTATCAAATATAGTAAAAAGTTATTAATATATTAAAGATTGTAAATAATTGTTTATTTTATTTTTATACGAATTAAAAAAGAGACATTGTCATATATAATGTAATAATATTGGTTTTTCGTTGAAATAAGGTAATATTATGTCTATTTTTACATGCAGTTCTTATCGAACGATATTGAATTTTCACTCCCTTTTTGTTTCCTCTTTATTAGCTGTTATTTGAGGGATTATATTGACAGTAAAGTGTATAAATTTCATTAAAATGAATATGTAGAACAACTGAGGAGAAGCCATAATAATGTTAAAAGAACGCTAGTAGTGATTCATGGTATTTTTTTTTTACATTTTATATTCACGTTGACGAGAAAAAGTTCATTGAACTCTAGATATTTTGAATATTGTAATTACATGGTAATCGTTATATCTTTGTTTGTTTTTTCAATTGTTTCGAGTTGTAAAATATTTTCTGAATGATATGACATCAATAGATTAGTTTAGAAAATTTATTGTAATCTATACTATACATTATAGTTTTTACGTGTAATATAATCCCATTCCCCTTTACAATGTACGACATTATCGCTATTCTACTGATAAAAAGTTATGTACACTACATTGCAATTATTTGAAAAATGTTTATTTTTCAGTTTTTCAATTGTATTAAATTAGAGACTAATTTAATTTATATTTTTGCATTAATGAGTATAATCAGAATAAATAAATGAAAATTTATTTTCTTATAAAAAATAATATAGGGTTGACACTTAATTCTTGCAGAACTATCATAAATTTGTTACTTATAAATTATTTAATGAATAATTTTACTTAAATGTTTCAAAATATTATTAAAAATAATGGATTTACAAAAAACGCTAAAAAAAATTTAATTTTGAAGAAGTTAAATAATTGCAAAAAATTTATAAATAATAAATTCAATTATTTCCAAAAATTTTCACAAAAATTCTTGTCAAAATTTCAATTATTTCCAAAATTATAAACAATAAATTCAATTATTTTCAAAAATTTAAATAAAATTCTTGGCAAAATTTCAATTATTTTCGAAATTATAAATAATAAATTGAATTATTTTCAAAAATTTTCATAAAATTCTTGGCAAAATTTCAATTATTTTCAAAAAATTTCCTCGATTCAATGATTTGCAATATTTACTATTTTAATAAAATTTCCCAAAAGAATTCAATTATTTAAAAAAAAACTATTTAATAAAATTCTACTCGAACATTTAATTATTTTCATAAATAATAAAAATATCTCAAGAATTCAATTATTTACAAATTTTTTTTAAAATTGTTTATAAATTTTTTCGCAATAATTCAATTACTTTTATAAATAATAAAACTCATCGTAAAATTTCTATTATTTTCAAAATTATAAATAATAAATTCAATTATTTTCAAAAATTTTTTTTAAAATTCTACGCAAACATTAAATTATTTTTTCATAAATAATAAAATTCTTTTTAGAAATTCAATTATTTTCAAAATTGTAAATAATAAATTTAAATATTTTCAAAAATTTTAATAAAATTCTACCCAAACATATAACAATTTTCATAAATAATAAAAATTTTATAGGAATTTAATTACTTTCAATGTAATTTTAATACAATTTCTTGAAAGAATTCATTTATTTTACAAATTTTTATTGCAATTCTTCGCAGAAATTTAATTATTTTCGAAAATTATAATAAAATTTCCTTGAAAGAATTAATTTATTTTAAAAATTTTTAATGCAATTCTTCGCAGAAATTTTAATATTTTCAAAAATTGTAATAAAATTCTCTTGATAGAATTAATTTATTTTTAAAATTTGTAATGCAATTCTTTGCAGAAATTCAATTATTTCCATAAATAATACAATTTTCATAAAATTTTTCGAACAAAATCAATTATTTTCATCCTTTTTTTATGAAACAGGAATTCAATTGTTTACAAATCTTTTCTAAATTTCTTCCCAAAAATTCAATTACTTTCATAAAAATAATAACATATTTTACAGGAATTCAATTATTTTTTATAAATAATGAAACTCTTCGCAGAATTTCAATTATTTTTAATATAATTTTAATCAAATTTCTCGATAAATGTAATTATTCTTAAAAATTTTATTAAAATTAGTCAAAATAATTGAATTAGTTAAAAATTTGTTGATAAAACTCTTTATGGGAATTGAATTTTTAGAAACATTTAATTATTTAATAAATTATTTATTTTTGTATTTAAATAATTAAATTGTAATAAAAATTGATTTAATAAAAATCAATAAAAATTTATTTAAAAATGAATTTCAATTACAATTTTAGATAATAATTGAATATTAAAAGCATTATTAGTGTGACTTTTTAGAAATAATTGAATTTTGAAAAGTTTTCAAATTTAAATCGTTAAAAATGAGAATTTTTCATATTTTTAATTAATATTTCTGGAGAATAAATTTTATTCAAAAAGTTTAAATTAAATTTTTTGAAATTATTTCACGTTTTTATTTTCTAATATACATTGAAGAATTTCCGAATAATCAAAATTTCGTAAAATTGATTTGTAAACAAATGGATTTGAAAATTAAAGAACTTTTTCAAAAATTATTGAAAATAATTGATTTAAAAAAGAATTTTAGTTAAGGGCGTTTGAACCTTGATGACGTTACACGTTGTGCAAAGCATGTGTGACGTCATCAAGGTTCAAATGCCCTTAAAAAGTCTAGAAAATTATAATTGAATGGAAATAATCGAAATAATTTTGAAGAAGTTACAGTAAGAATATTCTAAATATAAAATAATGATTTTATCACTCGGTCATCTTTAATATTATTTTAAAACATGAAGACATTGATTACTCCGAGTCGAAGACTCGGAGTGATTGATTTCTTCATGTTTTATAACAATTTTTTATAAGTTGTTTATATAATTTCAAAAAGGTTTAAATTTAAAATTTTTGAAAATCTTAAATAAATGTAATTTTAAATATAATTAATTAATTAATTAATTACATTTAAATGTAATTTTTTTGAGTATCCAGTAATTTTATTTTTAGAATGAATCAGAATATTCTTTATGGTCAGGAAAAAAGTAAAAAATTTTGTCTGAAAAATTAGAAATCAGGGAGAAAAGTCAGAAATAACTAAATTTTTGTCGCAACCCTGAAATATAGAAAAAAATATTTAATTTATACATTTTGTTTCACATTATTCTATTTTCTAATTCTAGTTTTTGTTAATTAACTTTCTTTTCTTTTTTTGCAGGTTTTCCATTAGCATTAATTCATAGGTACACACTTTATGGTCAAGATCCAGTTAGTCAACATTTATTTTTCATCGTTTCCGGAGTACTGCTAGGTTTTTGGAATTACGGTAATTGGAGATAGAAAAAAAATGTGTTATAATTAAAAAAAATTGTCATCTTTGAATTTGTATTTTAAGAATATTTAATTTTCAGGTTGGAGTATACTTCATCCGATAATTACAGTCTGTGCAACTTACGCAATCATTAAAAGACTTGGTAGTACAAAACAATGCCTTCAAGCATCTTTTTTATTCAACATGGGCTATTTATTTTACGGTAAGTTCAATTAGCGATTTTTTAAATTTGCTGAAAGTGAGATATGTCTTGTTTAGCGAATCGTTACAAATATTAAATTATCGTTGTCGACTATTTAGTTTTTTTTACAATTATTTTTTATTATTAAATTTATTAAATTTATTTAATTTATTATTAAATATATTAAATTTATTTTATTATTAAATTTATTAGCATGAAATTTTGTATCTTAATTATTAATCTTGATAATTAAATCTTTCTATTAAATTTATTTGCATGGCATTTTGTATCTTAATTATGTTCTTAATTTTCTTTACAGGCTATTTAACAACAAGCACAGAAGATTACGATATTAAATGGACAATGCCACAATGTGTACTCGCTCTTAGATTAATTGGTCTTTCATTCAATGTGTGGGATGGTTCCAAACCCGATGTGAGTACCGAAATCGAAAATAATACAAAATTTTTATTAATTTTTTTATTATATACTGAAAACTCTTAAAAATTGAACTTTTGTAAAATAATTTTTTTATTAAATTTCTCCTTTTTTTCAATTTACCAGAGTGAATTGTCTGCATTTCAAAAGCAAACCGCCCTTAAAGAGCAACCCTCTTTTCTGGAAATTGCCGCATTTTCCTTCTTCCCAGGATCATTTTTAGTCGGTCCTCAATTTAATATGAAAAGATATCAAGATTACGTCAATAATCGTCTCATTGCTACGGTGAGTAAAGAAAATAATGAAAAAACTTACAAATATTTATGTTTATATATATTAAATTGGTATAATATACAAATTAAAAATTAATTGAGAAATAGAAAAAAAATTGTACAAAAATTACTTTTAACTATAGCATTAAATTTCTGTTAGTATTTTAAAAGTAGTTTGTCTCAAATTTTGATAATAAATAAAAATTATTTTCAGGATGGAAATAGTCAAAAGTTACCAGACTGCATAATTCCTGGTATTCAACGTTCATCGCTTGGATTTGTCTATTTGGCGCTCTATCAAATTGGAAATCAATTCTTCCCTGAAAAATATTTACTGAGCGCAGACTTTGAAAATTTGAATTTCGTTCAACGTTGTTTCGGTGTTGGAATTTGGGGACGTATTAATTTATATAAATACATTAGTTGCTGGCTCATGACCGAAGGAGTGAGTACAATCTTTTCATTTATTCAATTGCTTTTATTATTGGGAATTATGTCAATTTTTTTTAACAATTTTATTAATAATTAACAATTTTGTTAAAAAAATTAATTAATACATGGTGTCTACTAACCGGGAATTTAATTTGACTGGAAAAAACCGGGAATAAGACAGGAATTTTATGCCAAACCGGGAATTTTTTTAACCAAATTAAAAAAAGTTTTATTAATATTAATTCAATTATTATAAATTAAAATACTTTGAAAATTCGATTGGTTAAAAAGTTTTAAATGATCGCTTTTTATTTCAATTTATATAGACATTTATACTATTCTCTAAATTTAAATTACTTAAAAATAATTAATTTGATAGTAAAAAATCAATTAAAAAAAAAATTATCGAATTAATAGAAAATTTTCAAAGTATTTTAATTTAATAATTGATAAATAATTGAATTTTATAAAGAGTAACATTCTAATTTATTCATGTTTCTTAGTGCGATGATTAATAATTAAAATTTTTATTAGTTAATTTAAAAAAATAACCCATTTAAATTTTTTTAATAAAATTTAATTTTCGCAAAGTTTTTTTTTGAAAATTCTGAAAAATAAGATTTTTGAAATGTTTCAATTCTATTGTTTCAAGATAATTGAATTTTCATAAACAAATAATTGGAATTTTTTGAAATAATTGCAATTTCTTTACATTCTATTTAAAATAATTGAATTATTTTAAAGAATTTTATTTAAATTTTTCGAAAATAATCAAGGGAAGTTGTTCACCGTAATTATAATTTTATGTTTTAAAAATTTCTTCGCAATATATTCAATTCTTTTCATAAATAGTAAAACTCATTACAGAATTTCAATTATTTTTAATAGAATTTTAATCAAATTCCTTAAAAAATGTAATTTTATTAAAATTCGTCGAAAGAATTTAATTATTTCTAGAAACTGTAAAAAAAAATTCTTCTCAAGAATTCAATTATTTCCGTAAATAGCAAAATATTTCAGATTTACTAAATTCTTTTGAATATTATTTTTAAAAAAATTCTTCACAAGAATTCAATTATTTTCATAAACTTCCATGAAATTCTAAAAAAAGCAATTCAATTATTTTCAAAAGTAATAAAATTTTTGTCAGAAATTGAATTATTTTCAAAAAAATTTTCTAAAATTCTCTTCAAAAATTCAATTATATTTATAAATAAAAAAATTCAATTATTTTCAAAAATGTTAATAAAATTGTAGAATTTTATTAAAATTTTAATTATTTTAATAAATAATAACATTCTTTAGAAGGATCCAATTACTTTTATAAATAGTAAAATTATTTGCAGAAATTAAATTATCTAGTATCAATACATTTTAATAAAATTGAATTAATTAAATTTTCAATTATAATTATGAACAGACAAGATTATTTTTAAAAATTGAAAAAATTCTTTATTAAATTCAATTATTTTCCAAATTTTTAATTAAAATTATTTTAAAAAAATATTATTTTCAAAAAAATTAAAGAAACTAGTCAAAAGAATTTAATTATTCATAAAAACTCTATAATAATAAATTTTGGAAGCCATTTTGTAGATTTATTTATGTTCGAAATCAAATAAATTTAAATTTAACGAGAAAAAAAAACCGGGGGAAATTAGGACAAACCCGGGAAATACCGGGAATTTTGTTGAACGAAAATAGTAGACACCCTGAAATTAAATTACGAATCAAAATTATAGAATATTGAAATAGAATGTTAAACATAGAAAATAGATAATTAGAAATTTGAGATTAGTAGATTTTAGCAACAACTGTAGGAAATTTTTTTAAAAAATTCGTAAATTTGATTAACATTTTCTACTTTTACTTTCTTTAATTTCGAAAACATTTCTTCTTCAATTGGTGAAAAGTTTCGTAAAATTTATTAAATTTTGCTTTTTCTTTCTTTAACTCTCAAAATCTTTTTCTGTAATGAAATTTTCTAATTATTGGAAGTAGAAGAATTCGAAAGTCTATTATTTAAAAAATTATAAAAATTAAAATAAGAAACTAAAATTCTGTAATTAGAATTCTTTCTATATAATAGAAATAGTAATAATAATAATAATAATAATAATAATAGTAGGTAATAATATACAATTATAGCATTATTTAATAGCAATATTTCATTATAATTAGTTTTTTTTATTTTCACTGTTTATTTAAAACTGACATACATACTTTGAATTTTCCAAACAAAAATTATTTGCTATATCTTTGAATTTATTTTTTCTTTTGTGAAAATTGAGCAAAATTTGTATATGAATACATGATTATGCTTCGCTTGTCGCGCTTTTATTTCTTTTCGGATTTTGTTTTGCATTTTTCAATAGAAAAATCCGCTCACGAGATTTCTAACACTTTGTTTGTCAAACAACTGCCTGTTTGTTTGTTAATCTCTTTAATGAGTGTGAATATTTGTTTTGAGCAAATGTGGTTTGTTTGCATAAATTTTTTTACTGATGAATTGTGGTTTAAGTCATGAATGGACTTAAAAATAAGAAGAACACGGAGAAATATTACAAAAAAAATGAATATTATATGTACACATAAGAAATATTTTTTTGCTTTTAAAAAAATTGCATGACTTTAACTAAGGTATGTAAGAATGCTTTAATTTTTTTTAATTATTTACTAACGGACAAAAAAATAAATTACTAACACTAGAAAATAGTTCTTATAAGTTTGTTTGTTTTCTTTTTTCTTCAAGGTACGTACGTTTTTATTATTTATTATAAAGAAACAAATTCTGTTACATTGTTTACCGTATTTATCGATTGTTTTACTGTACAAACACCTTTTTTCTTTCTTTCCTTCTTTCTTTTTTTCTTTGAATTCGTTTTAAATTAAGTTCTATTAATTTTTTAATTTATAAAACAAGTTTATAAAATTAATTAAATTCTACTTAATTTTATAAAATATTTTAATTAAGTTACTCTTTGATTTTACAATTATTCGGAAATTTTCTATTCTTCAAGTAATTTAGTTGTAAACGTAATTTAAAGTTATAAACGTTAAATAATATTTTTTTGTTCTAATTTTAGCAGAAATTTAATTTAATTAGCAGAGATTTATGGAAAATTGTTTAGTATTTGCAAGAATTAGGAAAAGTATTTAATCAAGAATCTGAGCTAATAAAATGTAGAAAAGAAAAAATGGATACGTGTTGTATGGTTGATAATTTTAATGATTTATTTTTAATTTATTTTTAATTTATTTTAAATTTATTATTTTATTTATTTTTATTTTCATTTTATTTGGTTTGAAATTAATAAAAATGTTCTAGTAATTGATTTTTCTCTTCAGGTGTGTACTGCTTTTGGATTAACTTACAACGGAAAGGATTCTTCTGGTCATTTAAAATGGGATGGCTGTGCAAATGTGGAATTACTGACATTTGAGAATGCAACTCAATATGATCATTATATTCAGTCGTTTAATATTAATACAAATCATTGGAGCGCAGAATATATTTACAAGAGACTCAGGTTTCTTGGATCAAAGCTTTATAGTCAAGTAGGAACTCTTGCCTTCCTTGCCGTATGGCATGGCTTCCATTCTGGTTATTACATGTGCTTTATCATGGAGTTTATTATTATGTACTTCGAGAAAGATGTAAGTACCTTTTTTGTATTTAAATAATCTATAAATTAATTAATCTTCCTCGAGGGAGAATTTTTTTTAAATTTTATTGAATTTTATCCAAAGAATCTTTAAAGAAAATTGAAACTAATATCATTAAAGAAAAAATATTAAAATCTAATTCAGAGTTGCCATAGGTCAGTGAAATTAGGGAAATGTCAGGGAATTTTCTAAAAAGTACTGGAAAAATATCAATATAAATTAAATATTTATTTAAAAATGAAGTTATTGATTAAATAGGGATTAATTATTGTAAGAATAATTAATTAATTTATTTATTTATCGAGACTTTAATTAATTATTCGAATTTTTATAGATGGTACCAATTTTGATGAAGCACGAACAACTTCAATTACTGGTGAAAGAAAATTTCGTCGCGAGGTTCGCTTTTTGGATTCTTTTGAAGGTTTATACGTTAATTTTCATGGGCTATGCGATCGTACCCTTTGTCTATCTTTCATATCCAAAATATATGCAGGTTTATCGTAGCATATATTATTGCGGTCATGTGATATTCTTTAGCTATCCTTTACTAGCGCCTTTTATTAAGAAAGCAATTCGTCAAAGTCGTCCCAGATCGCATCAAGAATAAAGAAAAAAAGAAAAAAAAATTGTTAAAAATTATAAATTTTGAGACGATGTACAGTTATAATTTTGGAAAATATTCTTCCATAAAATATACCGAGATGAAGACGATTTTATTCGATTTTTATTACTTAGCAAAGCAGTAGTTGAAAATGTGCACTATATATTAAAGTCTTTTCGTCCTCATCAATTTTAATGTATCTTGTGAAAGATGCATTTTAGATGAAAGGTAGTTCCGTGATATCGAAGACTGATACTTGTTTTTTTTTCTTCTTCTTAATTTTTAAACTTAATACTTTTTCGTCTTCGTGCAGTCCAATTATTACAGAGTTATATGTATAGAAATATTTTCGGATTTAAATGATACCGACATTGTGAAATCCGAAGAAAAAATTGAAAAAAATAATTATTGACAAATAATTAATAATAAACACAATTTCAATTAAAAACGAATGAGAGGAAAATATGTATGAATTGGAAATCGTAAATTTTACCATTTCAAAACTTAATTTTTCCATTTCAAAGTCTAAATATAATTTTTTCAAACTTCAATATTTGTTGTATAAAATTGTTATATAATCTTAGAAATTTTTTTTCAATTTAAAACATGTACAAAAAAATAATTTTACTAGAAATTGGAGCAATTATTAAAAAATTGAAAAAAATCTTCTTGTATTCGAACAAGAAAAGAAACGAATTTCATGATTCTTTTTCCCCCAATATATTTTTGAAATTTCAAAGCAACAAAAAAAGAGATGCAGGGAAAAAAATTATTTCTCGAGATATAAAAATTAATACAATAAAAAATGTATTAAATGAACTAGAAAAATTGTAATTATATTAAAAGACAGTGATGACTGTTATTAATAATTATGACTGTACAACTTTTTTAAAACTAGTTGTTTGGCTGAAAAACTTTGTAAAATATTAATGACAGCCAATCTTTTTGAGTATAAGAAAAATTAGCTTTAAGAAAATGCCGCATTCTGGGCGACATCAACGCAGAAGAGTTATATTTAAAATGAAAATGTACATAAGGTTGTGAACAAGACAAAGAAAAAGAGAGATCAAGTTTCATACCATTAGAATATTTGTAATTACCAATTAAATATCTACGATAATAATTGCTCCTAGTTGATTATCAAAATGATTAAAAAATTACTTTCGGTTCCATTCTCGATTATTGAATATGAAAATGGAGCACAAGAATAATTTTTTTTAATCATTTTATTAAAAATTTGTGTGTAATGAATTTTTTCTCCAATTAATTGTAGAATTCATTTAAATAGTTAACTATTTAGTTTCCTTTTTGTTTTAATTTTTTTCAATTGTTTCCTTTCGCTCAATTTGGATTGTAGTTAATTTATTCAGCAGTGGTTTAGATAATTAACTAAAAAGAATTAAATTTTTTTTTAAAATTAATTTTTAATTCAGTTTTTTGTTATGAATTGAAATTTTTGAATTGAATTTTTTGTTATGAAAGTTGTTTGCAAAATAATTTTTCTTTGAGCACTGTTTCAAAACACGAATATTTAGAATTGAAAATATGTAAGTTTTCCTTTGTAGACTAAAACGAAAGCGAGCTCAAAAAGCGTGTGTGTAGGGTTGAGAATGTGTGTCTCAAAGTCGCAGGTTCTTTGAGAAAATAAAGTCAACATTTATCTAATATTGTAACAAAGTTTTAGATTCAATACGTTGATTCAAGTGTGAGATACAAAATAACTGAAATCAAAGTTATAATTATTTTTTCAAATAGTAATTATTGGCATGCCTAATCATTACTTTAATTTGGTCGAAAAGAATTTTTTTCACTTCTCAGTTTGTTGCGGAACATTATTTTTTATAAAGAAACAATTTTTTAATTATAAAATAAAATGGAATAAATTTTTATTGTAAAAAATAAATGTTTCAAATTCAAGGAAAATTTTTATTTTTTATTTATTTGTAGTCCAAGAGCGGACTAATGTTTTTTATTTAATTGAACAAAAATGGAACAAAAATTAATTTTTTTTAAGGCGAAATTACAGCTTTTATTTACATGAAATGAAATATTTAGACTAAGTTAATCTTTTCTCTTTTCGAATTTTGTATCTTGCGCTTGAATCATTTTTTAATGAAGTACTAAATAGTGTATAATAATCCTGTTTCATTTCCACGTAAAGTACTTCCGCTTTATATATATAAAAAAAGAAGTGTATTTTAATAAAAAAAAGTCGATTTGGAAAGGGTTTTTATTCATTGATAAAGTTTTTTATTCACTTGTAAAAAAATGTACGTTTGACATTTTTCTTAACACGATTTTCTCGTTATTATTAATTTTTATTATATATAATAAAGTTTATTTGTTATTTGAATTAATTTAAAATGTATTTATTTGTTATTAAATTACAATGTGCAAAAATACTAGGAAGTTTTATTCTTTTCGTTCTTGATTTAATTTGCTGAAATGAATTTTGTTTTATTTCGGAAATATTTATCATTTTTGTCAATTCGTTTTACTTTTAAGTTTTAATTATAAAGAAACAAGAAATTAAATTAATTACCTTATTTTACACTTATGAATCATGAAACTTATTTTTAAGTGGTGTAATTATTTTACTGAAAATACTTTTGTTAATCGAATTTTATAATAGATTTTAATATTAGATTTTCATATTAGATTTTTATAATGAATTCGAGGAGTAGATTTTTATAATGGGTTTTAATAATAAGTAATAAGTGGATTTAAATCAGATTTTTAGTTATAAAAATAGAAAATTTTGCATTATTCCGTTTTTATTAAATAAAAAGTATAAAAATGTATTTTTTCCTAAAACTAAGCATTTGTAGAAAAATAAAAAAATATTTTATTCAACTCCTACGTATACATATGAATGTTTTCTATAGTATACAAATTAAAAAAACAAATTCGCACTTGGTGAATGAAAGCACAATAATAATTTTAACCGGTTGTTACAAATAACACAAAAAAAATCATCCAATGACACATTATGGACATAATATTTATAATGTTACTTTTTTCTTTTTTATATGTGAATGCGATAATATAACACACAATTATTCCCTCATTATTTATATATAAATCTAATTTATGTACAGTTTTTTTAGTCTCATATTTTTTAATTTCGAGCATATCTCTCAGTCTAGGCCAAAAATATTTGCGCACGTCTTCAATATTCTTAATGAATATAGAAAAAATTAAAAAAAAGTTCTATATAACAAACAAAATTTCAATATTAAATTAAATTTCACATGTTTAAAAAAAATGCGTCCTCTTTTTAATATAAGAAGAACTTTTGATTTATCTTTTAAAATAAAAAAAAAAAATTAAATAAAAATTTAAAAAAAGGCAGTAAAGTTATACTGAATGAAGTATAAATTTTCACAATCAGTATAATATGATTTTCTGTTAGGATGGAATTTTATTTTTAAACTAAATCTAGTAAGGACCACTGCTGGGTGGTCCGTAACTGTCAACTGGTACTGAAGCTGGTGGAGGACCATATTCCGCATTTTGTTGCTCTTTCTGCAAAAAAAGAAGGAAAAGTTTTTTAGAATTTATATATTTTAATTGTTGAAAATTTTTTTACTGTTTTTACTATTTTACATATTATTGCTGTTATTATTACTAAATTATTATTTTTATAAATAATAAATTTTTTCCTTTGAATTTTTAGTTAAAAGATAAATTAATTTACAAATTTTTCTTTTTCAGATTCGAAATGCAGTGATTTAAAAGAAATTTGGAATTCGAATGAGTCGATGAGAAATTTTAATTCAGAGTTAATATTCGAAATTGATTGAAAGCACATTTCGATTTGAAAGAACTGGAGATGATAGGACCGAAATTAATTTTCATCCAAATTAAAGGACGTAAGTTTTTTTTAAACAAAATTTCCATAATAGTAGCAGGGTTGCCACAGTTCAGGGAATTCAGGGAAAAGTCAGGGATTTTTATTAAAAGTACTGGAAAAAATTTAATTTTTAGAATTCATAATTAGTTTTATTTAATTTTTTAATATATATTTATTTTAATTAATTATTAAAAATCATGGATTTATAGTAGAATTTTAGTTAAAAACACTAAAAAAAATTTGAATTTTAGAGAAGTTACAAATGTTTGTAGAAATTCAATTATGTTCGAAAACTAAAAAAAATTCTCTTCAAAATTTCAATTATCTTTAAAAGTAATAAAATTCTTTTCCAAAATTCAATTATTTACATAAATTTTTGAAAATTTTGAAAATTTTATTAACCTCGTTGAAAAAGTTTAATTATTTAAAAATTTGTTGATAAAATTATTTATGAGAATTCAATTTTAAAAAAGATTCATTTATTCAATAATTTTTTCATTTTTGTATTTAAATAATTGAATTCTGAATTTAAAAAAAAAATTAAAATTTGGTAATAAAAATTGTTTTAAAATTGAATTTCAGTAATAAATTTAGATAAAAATTGAATGTTATAGACATTATAGCGTGAATTTTTTTTAGAAATAATTGCATTTTGAAAAAGATTAATTGAATTTAAAAAAAAAATTATTTCAATTTTTTTTTCTAAATATTTAATTGAAGAATTTCCGAATAATCAAAATTTTATAAAATTGAATTGTAAACAAAATGGATTTGAAAATTCTCTAGGAACATTTGCAAAAATTATTAAAAATAATTGAAAATTGTTCATTTATTTCTTTTGAAGAATTTTAATAAAATTTTTGAAGTCAATTACATTTTTCGAAGAATTTACTTAAAAATTGTATTAAAAATAATTGAAATCCTGCGAAGAATTTTATTATTTAGGGAAATAATAATTGAAGTCTTGCAACGAATGTTTAATACATTTTTTTAAAATATTTGAAATCATGTGGAAAATATTATTTATAAAAATAATTGAATTCTTGCAATGAATTTTATTATATTTTCTTTAAATAATTGAAATCCTGTAGAGAATTTTATTATTTATGAAAATAATTGAATTCTTTTGAAAAATTGTATTAAAATAGTAGATTTTCAAAATATTTGAATTTCTGCAAAGAATTTCATTTTTTGTGAAATGTAATTGCAATCTTGTACAAAATGTTTGAAAATAATTACATTTTTCGAGGAATTCATTAAAATTGTATTAAAAAAAATTCTAATCCTCGGAAAAATTTTATTATTTATGATAATAATTGAATTCTTACAACGAATTTCATTACATTTTTTTAAATAATTGAATTGATGTTAAAAATAGTAATACTTTTAAAAATAATTGAATTCTTTCGAAGGATTTTATTAAAACTTTTGTAAATAATTTAATTTTTTTTTGGAAAAGTTTTATTTTTTTTATTTTATAAAAATTTTATGAAAACAGCTTGCTATCTTCATGTTTTATAATAAATATTCTTATGAATTATTAAATTTCAAAAAGGATTGAATTTGAATTTTTTTTAAAACTTCATTTCTACGAAAAAATAATAATGATTAAATATTTATTTAAAAAAGAAGTTATTGACGCTTTTGAATAATTTTACAATTAAAGAAAGTCGTAAATAAATATAATAGAAATTTTTTTGAGTATCTAATAATTTTTCAGGTGAATCAGAATATTCTTTAGGATTCAGGGGAAAATTCAAAAATTTCGTTTGGAAATCAGGGAAAAATAAAATTAAATTATTATGGCAACCGGGAGTAGATTTGCAAAAAAAAAGAAACGTACCTGAGTCTTGTAGCGAATAAAATAGACTTCCGGTTTACTGGGCTGTGTTGGCGCCTGTGTGGGAAGAATAACTTCCGGTGCCTCTTCTGGTTTCTTAACGAGAACGTAAATCAAAGTCTTCTCCTCGTCTTGTGGTGGAAGAGGTGGGAGAGCAGGTGCCGTTGGTGTCGGTGGTGTTGGTGCCTTTATGAAGACAATTTTATAATGCTTCTGTGGGGGTGGTGCGGGGGCAATGTACTTGGGGGCCTTATATTCTGGTGCCTCTGGTGGTGGAACATGAACGTAAACGTGTTTATGAATTACAGGATTTCTTTGCGGTGGTCCATAACTTGAGGATGGTTGAACTGGTGGTGGACCGTAACTACCACCGCTACCGGTACCGCCTATTGATGATGGATAACCACCGCCGCCACCGCCTCCCGATGGTGGGAAGTATGACGATGGTGGTTCCGGTCTCGCTGACGCTGAATATGCCCACGTCACTAGTAACACCTGTTTCAGGAAAAAAAATTGGGGTAAGTGATTATTTTTCATTTTTATAATTACACCCCGTCATCAAAAAAATTTTTCTGATCGTAGTAAAAGCCACGGGGCTTTTACTACGTTCAGAAAATTTTTTTTGATGATTCGAAAGTTCTGAATGTTCAAATGAAGGAAATTAATTTATTTCGTCTTCAAATTAAAATTTTATTATGCGTTTTTGTAATAATTATCCCCATCCACCTAAAGGCGTTTATTCAAAATATAATCAGAATTTGTGGAGAACAAGAAAAATTCTAAATATGAGAATTTCTTTTTAATTAATTTTTAAGGAAACGGAAATTAAAGGGAACTTGTACAATAATTATATTTTCCCCTCAGAAAATGAAACACTGACGTAATGCACAAACGTGATCTAATCACACGGATTTTCTTAATATGAATATACAATTGCCAAATGTTATTCAACATATTTTCTTTACGCTTTTGTTTTTATTTCTACTATTATTGTTATTTTAGTTGTTATTTATATTTATATTTTATATTATTATTTATATTATTAATATTTTTATTATTATTATTATTATTATTATTATTATTATTTATTTATATTACTATTTTTATTTTTATTATTATTATTATTATTATTATTATCATCATTCTTACGCAAGTCGAGTTCAGTGATTCAAAATAACATTTTCTACTTAATGGGTTTCATTTTCTGGAGTATGCGTTTGCTTTGCTTATTAGAAAAATTATATAATATATGTTACAAATTATTTTATCTTTTTTTTATAATTACGTTAATTTGCAAAAACAAGATTTCATCTTTTGGGACATAAGTAATTTAAATAATAATAATGAAAACAATATATTGCTAATAATAAATTGCTAATAATAAATAAATTGATAATAATCAATATAATAATTAATAAATCGACGAAAAATAATATATAAATAACAATTTAAACCATAATTTTCTGGATCAAAGATAATTAATTCAAAATTAAGGAAGGAAATTTTATTTTCTTTGTACTGGAGTTTTTAAAATAAATTTCCAAATTTACACTGAAAAAAAATTTATTTAATTCAAATAACCAATTAATTGACTATTATCAATTAAATTTTTAATTGAATCAAATAATATTTATTGGAGTCAATTAAATAGTATCTGAACAAATAATTTTAGTATTTGAAGCAAATACCATTTAATTGACTCAAATAAATATTATTTGATTCAAGTAAATATTTAATTGATAATAGTCAATTAATCGGTTATTTGGATCAATTCAAATTTTTTTTTCAGTGTAGTTTTTTAAAAATTAAGAACATCAATATTTTTGAATTTTTTTAATCTTAACAACATTACAATCATTATGAATTATTCAACAAAATCTTGAATTTTTTTTCTTATTTCTGTCCGATATTAAATTTTAGACTTTATTAAAATTTTTTGTTGTTGAATAATTGAGATCTTCAAGAACTGTCTCAAAAATATTAATAATAATTAATTTAGCAAAGAATTTTTTATTTTAAATTTACGAAAAATAAATTGTTTTTTGAAAGTTTTAGATTGGATTTTTTGATAATTTGAATTATTACCGAAAAAATTTTGACAAAAAATATAAATAATTAATTCTAAAAAGATAATTCATACCTATTATTTAATAAATATTCAACAAATTTTAAATAACTAAGTTTATTATAACATTTTAATTAAAATATTTTTTGAAAGATAATTAAATTTTCCAATAAATATAATCGAAAAATTGTGGAAAATTTGCAATTTTCTAAAATTCTATTGAAAATAATTAAGATTTTTAAAAAAAAGTTTATTAAAGTTTTTGTAAATAATTAAATTTTGGAAATTTTGAATTTAAAAATTATTGATATTATTAAATTTTAGCGGTATTCTGATAATTGAAGTTTGAGAAAAAGTTGAATTATTGAAGACTTTTCTTAGAATTTATTTTAAATAATCTATTTAACGAAGAAATTTAGTTAAAAATTCTAAGTAATAAATTGAATTTTTGAAATATTTAACTTTCGCTTAAGATTTAAACATATTTTAAAAACTCTTTTAAAATTCAGTTATGATTTAGAAATTTTAACTAAAATTATTCATTGAATAGATTATTTTTAATAAATCTTGAGGAAAGTCTCTTGAATAATTTGAATATTTTTCAAAATTCAATTATTATTTAGAATTTATTTATTTTTTATCTAAATTTGGATTTTAGAAATAATTGAATTTCAGACATTTAATTTTTTTAAATTCATTTACTTCTAAATAAAATTATTAAAAGAATTGAATTCTTGTTGAAAATAACAAATACTAGGATTTAAATATTAAAAACAAAACTATTAAATTTTGAATAATTGCAAAAATTGCATTGAAACTAATAAATTGGATATTTTACACATTTTTTTTAAAGATTCAGTCAATCGAATTTTTAGAAATTTAAATTAAGAATTTAATAAATAATTGAATTTTAAACGTATTTTCTTCATCGTCTTAGAATTAAAATATTAAATTTTGAATTAAAATTGAAATTATAGAATTAAATTCTTCAAATAATTGAATTTTGGAAAAGTTACAATTCAAATTTCTCACATTAGTTACATTTGAAAATTTTCGAAAATTAAGATAAAGTATTAAATAATTTATTCAAAATAAAATAAAAATAATTCAATATTATTGAATAGTATTCAATATTATTATTGATAGTTTTCTTCTTAATAAAAATAATTCAAGTTTCGAGGAATTTTATTCAAAATCCTAAAAATTGATTTTTTAATATTAATTTAATCTATTGTAGATAATTGAATTTTTGAAAATAATTAATTGCAAATATTTCACGCGTTATTGGAATTTAATATCATTAAAAAACCGGAAACAGTTTAAAGAATATTGTAATAAAAATTTTTAAAGTACCTAAATTAGATTTTGAAAAATTGTAATTGGAAATTTTGAAAAATAATTGAATTTAACAAAGAGACAGAATAATTTTGACTCTTCGTTAATTATTGAATTATTGAAATTATTATCAGGATCAGAAAAAAATTGAATTTTTTTTTAAAATCAGAGAAGAGACAAATTCAATTTTTCATTTCAACTTTAAATAAATAAATTTTATTTATTTGTAATTTATTTAAATTAATTTATTGTAAATTAAATTAATAATTTTGTTTAATAAATAAATTTTATTTATTTAATTAAAAATTTTATTTAATAAATAAATTTTATTTATTTATTTAAAGTAGATTAAAAGCTAAAGTTTTTTTTCACATTTGTTTAAATAATTTTGTTCCAAAATCAGAAGCTAGGAACAAATTAAAATAATTAGAATAAATAGGTAATAAATATTTGTTTTTAAATTTTAATGCAAAAATCAAAAACTGAAGATAAATTACAATAAATAGATAATAAATTTTAAATAAATAATTTTCTATCATATTTGAAAGTGAAGAACTATTTAAAAAAATTAAATAAATATTAAATAATAATTTCTCGTTCTCATTGTTTTGTGCAATTCGGAAAAGAGAGTAATAAAAGTAAAAATAATATGGAAGAGTGTGTTACCAGTTATATAAGATAGGAAAACGTTTCAAAATGAGTTCTAAATGAGGGAAAGGAACTGAAAGATTAATTTACAAGATTAGCTTTAAAAGCCTAAGTAGGAAAAGTTGTCATCATCAAGGAAGAGGTACATTATTCTTGTTACTGAATCAATTTTTACGAGACAACATGTCAACGTTTGTCCATATTACAACTTTGCTAAAGTGTTATAAATAATTGATGTGAACATATCAAGATGATACGTCTCGTCACTTAGAGAAAAAAAAATAATAAAAAAAAGGAGTGACCGTCTCATAGGAATCAATGCAAGAGGTGGTGGCTTTCTCCTACCTATATTTTTTTTTACTATCTGCTTCCTAATTTCGGCTTACGTTTCATTTCAAAGCTATATGCCTTAACGCTTTCGCGATTCTCACTCGCTCCGACGATTAACGCTATGCGCACTGGACTCTTTATTCAGCACCTGACGAACCGACTTTACCTGTGGCATAGAGTAAGAGGCGAATTGGGTGAGAAAGAAAGAGAGAGGAAGACGTTTGAACATGCGGTTAATTGTTTCCGGTAGAAAACGAAGATTATTCTTGATCGGCTATATATAGAGAGAGAGAGAGCGTAATGTACTGTTGCGTTAGTCTATAATGACAATATTTTGCAAGAATTGCTAGACTATTATGGAATCAGAAATGCTCGCGACATCCCTGTGTGTAATTTGTTTCGTTTAATGCCAAGGCGTGCTCTTGATGACAATATTTCATTTATAAAGGTGGAACACTTGTCCTTGGCATCAGTTTTCTCTTAAATTGAAATCTTTATTTCTGTTTTAGATAAAAAAAAGAAATTAATTCTAATATTTTCGACTCAAAGGAAAGGGAATTTGATTTTGAATTTTCCAAACGAATTTTTAGATTTTGGATTTTACACGTAAATATTCGTTCAATGAGAAGAAGCAGAAGAAGAAAAATCATTGGATTCAAAAAAGATCATAAGACGAGAGAAAATTATTTTGGACTCAAAAGGAATTCAATTATTATTTTTGGAAACGAATTTTCAGATTTTAGATTTCAAATACTTTCAAAAAAGAAGCCGCAAAAGAAGAAAAATTATTTGGATTAAAAAATTTGATTTCGCGAAAAAGTCATTTTGAATTCAAAAGGAATTCAAATTTTAATTTTCGAAACGAATTTTTAGATTTTGGATTTCTTTTACTTTCGAAGAGAAGAAGTAAAAAAGAAAAAATCATTTGAATTCAAAAGAGGTCAAAAGATGTTTTGATTAGGAGAGAAATTTATTTTGGATTCAAAAGGAATTTGATTTCGAATGTTGAAAACAAATTTTTAGATTTCGGATTCTAAATACTTTCAAAAAAGAAGCAACAAAAGAAAAAAAATCATCTGAATTCAACAGATTTTTTCGTTATGAAAAAAAAATTCTTTATTCAAAAGAAATTTGATTTTGAATTTTCGAAATAAATTTTTTGATTTGGAATTTTAAGAAACTTTAAAATGAATAATCAAAGGAGAAAAAATTATTTTTATTCAGAAGATGTATTAATTATGAAAAAAAAAATCATTTTTGATTGAAAAGGAATTTGATTTTGAATTTTCGAAACAAATTTTTAGATTTGGAATTTTATGTACATACTTTAAAAAAGCAGTAAAAGAAGAAAAATTATCTGGATTCAAAAAATATTTTGATTCCAAAAAAAAAATTATTTTGGATTCAAAAGGAATTTGATTTTGAAAACGAATTTTTAGATTTCGGATTTTAAATACTTTCAAAAAAGAAGCAACAAAAGAAAAAAAAATCATTTGGATTCAAAAGATTTTTTCGTTAGAAAAATAAATCATTTTTGATTGAAAAGGAATTTGATTTTTAACTTTCGAAACAAATTTTTAGATTTGGAATTTAAAGTAACTTTAAAATGAATAATCAAAGGAGAAAAAATTATTTTGATCTAGAAGATTTATTATAATTACGAAAAAAAATCATTTTTGATTGAAAAGGAATTTGATTTTAAGTTTTCGAAACAAATTTTTAGATTTGGAATTTTATGTACTATAAAAAAAAAACAGTAAAAGAAGAAAAATTATTTGGATTCAAAAAATGTTTTGATTAAAATAAAAATTATTTTGGATTCAAAAGGAATTTGATTTTGGATTTCAAATACTTTCAAATACGAAGCAGCAAAAGAAGAAAAATTATCCGATTTCAAAAGATATTTTGATTACGAGAAAAAATTATTTTTGATTCAAAAAGAATTTTATTTTAAATTTCCGAAACGAATTTTTAGATTTTGGATTTTAAGTATTTTCAAAAAAGAAGCAACAAATTTGAAAATGGATTGATTTTTGTAGAATTTGGATTGAAATATAAATCTTAAAAAAACACAAAAAAATAAATGAAAATCATTCGAATTTGAAAAATCTCGAATTTCATTTTTAATTTCAAAACAGATTTTCATGATTTACAAGTTTTGAACGTTCAAATGAACGAAATATTTCTTATTAATCATATTTTCAAAAATTACTGATTTGAATTAAAATTAAAAAATTAAATTTTAAATGCAAAAACTTTATTATTAAATTTTTTTATAGTGACGCAAAATTTTTGTTATAAACATTTAATTTGAAGAAAGAATACATAAATTTCGTTCATTTGAACGTTCAGAACTTTAGGATCATGATTTTCTTATAGATTTCAAATTGAAATACAAATTTCGGAAAAAAAAGGAAATAAAAATTATTCGAATTCAAAAAATCTAAAATTTGATTTGTAACTTCGAAACTGATTGACTCAGATTTTATATTGAAAAATAAATCTGAAAATATAACATTTTAGTTGCAGATTCGTGACAGATTGGCGCTATGGAAGAAATTCAAATTGAAATTAATGTCAAATATAATCCTTAACAAAAAAAATTTTAATTAAATACTGTTAATTAATGATTGTAAATTAATAATTAAAAAAAATAACAAATTATTGCTAATATTTAATATTTAATTAACTTTTACATAAACTTCAATAATTTATTGTCAATTTTTAAACTTTTTTAACATTTTATTCAAATTCTTGAAAAAAAAATTTTATTTATTCGAAATTTTGTAAGTTAAAAATTTTATAGTAAAAAGTTTATACACTAAAAAAATTTATTTTATTCAAATAACCGATTACTTGTCTGTTAGTAAATAAATATTTACTTGACTCAAATAATATTTACTTAAATCAATTAAATGGTATTTGAACCAAATAAATTTTTTTTTCAATGTATAGAATTTTCAAAAAATGGAAATAAATAAATAATAAAATTAATAAATATTAAAATAAATAAATAATATAAAGTTTAAAAATGTTATAATATTTTAAAACTAAATTATTGCTTCTAATAGTTTTTATTTTCTTATAAATAATTAATAATAACGTTTAACAATAACTAATAAAATAACAATTATATTATCGTTTAATTTAAATAATAATAATTAAAATAATTTATCTGAGTTCATTTATTTTGTATAAAAATTAAATAATTGATTTGACTTCATTAATATTGTATTCAAATTATTATCACTTTCTACTAATATTTAAAAAAAAATTTTAAATTATTTTCAACAATTAAAATTTAAACACTAGAATCATAAAAAAAATAATTATTACAAAGAAATAAATAAGAAAAAATCTTTGTACTTACGTTGAAAAGAGCACTAATAAATTTATAATTTTTTGAACTTGATTAATAAATTATTAATATCAATTTTTATATTAATATTAATTATTATTGGAATTTTATTATTAATATTAAATTGTTATTATATTTTTATTATTGTTTTTTATTAATTTGTACTGAATTATAATTTATAATTAATTTACAATTAATTTATAATTATTTTACAATTAATTTATAATAAACTATTTATAATGAATTTCAATTTATTTTCAATTTATAATTAACTATTATTATTTTTTTTTATTTTTATTAATTAATTAATTAACTAAACTAATTAAATACCAATTTTTTTCTACAAGATTAACTTATTCTTTTGTTAAAAAATTTCTTACGCATTTGAAATAAAAAATTTAATTTCAGATGATGATGATGATGTATATTAAGAAAAGAACGTGTAAAATGTAACAATTGAACGTGTGAAATTTTTCCCATCCACAAAACAATTTATAATTGACAATAATCTTCACTTTGAATTTCTTCCCAAGTGCGGAAACTTTTTTTTTTTTCTTTTTTGTTTAATTTATAAACTCAATCTGCTATATAGTCGACAATCCAATTCCCACTTCCTTATTGTCGCACAAATTAATTGTACACTCGTGAGACGAACAAAAGAAGAGTATAATAAAATGAAGAAAACCGCGTCACTATATATAATAAATAATGAAAAAGCGATAAAAAAAATTCACAGAGAAAAAAAAAATAAAAAACTTATAAGGAAAAACGAAGGACAAAAATTTGCAAATACTGAACACCGATTCGATTTAAAAATTCTTCCTTCAAAAATAAGGGGAAAAAAATACTCTGTAGCACGCACCGCATAATTTGAATAAATGTAACCAGAAGACAACGAGTAATTGAAGATTTAACGTTTCACACTTATAATTACTTACAATTAAAGCCCTCATATTGGCACTTGCGAATTAAACGGATCGTCGTCAGTAAACGAACCGAGAAAAAAAAGATTGTTTTATTTAATTTATTTTTTGACAGAAACTCGCTCGTACACTCGCTTTCTTGTGTATGCTCGGGCGCACTTGTTTTCGAGACATTTATATACCACAAGATCTTCTACCACCAAAGCATTGAAAACAGTGTAGAGGCGTACAGAGGAAACATCCTTTCCTTTGGGGGTTCACTTTATACTAGTAGTGGCGGTACCACTTGCTACCATTTCGCGTTTAGTGAGTGGCAATATGCTCTAACAACAACAATGTCTAGATGACAGTCATGATAATACAATGAATCTGTCGAAAACACACCTTTTGTTCTCATAAATCTAATAGTGCTCGATATACTCACGTGTATAAATATAAAATGAGAATAAAGATTAAACATAAATGAAAATTCACATATTTTTTTCTTTTTTGCTATCAAGATGTACAATAAGTAACGTGCTCGTGAAATAGTTCATTTTCACACTGTTGAATAAAATAGCACTGTCAATATAATTATGATTTTTGTAGACATATAATATAACAATTACGGGTTGTAATTGCGAAAAATGAGTATAATGAAAGAAATTATTGTTCTGGAGGAAAAATTCTACCATTATTCGAGGGTATAATTAATTTTGTTTATAATTAATTGTACAAGGAAAAAAAATTATCACCAACTGATAGTAAATTTATGCTTAATTTACAATTAATTTACATTCAATTTACAATAATTTATTTACACTGAACAAATTTTATTTGATTCAAATAACCGATTACTTGACTATTATCAATATTAAATATTAACTTGAATCAAATAATTTTTGTTTGAGTTAATTAAATGGTTTAATTTCTTTTTCCTTGAAATACTGAAATTAGTAAATAAGATTAAGTTGATTTTAAAAAAAATAATCTGATTCAAGTAAATATTTATTTACTAATAAAAATTAAAATAAAAAAAAAATTTTTTAAAAACTTAAAATAAAAAAATTAAATTATTAAAATAAAAAAAAATTAAATTTTTTCAATGTAAATAATTATAAATTGAATGTAAATTAATTGTAAATTAAGCATTAATTTACTATCTTGGTGATAATTGTGTAATTAATCAATTAATAATCATAGTTTCAATCTACAATCAATGACACCTCATATTAATTAATTACCATCAATAACTATAACCATTGATTGAATAAATATTACGATTAATTAATTAATTTGAAATACAATTGATCATTAAAAAAATTTATTTGATTCAAATAACCGATTACTTGACTATTATCAATTAAATGGTTCAATTCATAATTTGCATCGAATACTGAAATAATTTATTTACATTCAATTTATTTTATTTAAATAAAAATAAAATAAATAAAAATTATTTGATTCAAGTAAATATTTATTTGAAAAATGGACCAGTAATCGTTTATTTGAAACCAATTTCTTTTCAGTGAGTAATTAATAATTAAAACTAATTAATTAGGTTGAAAAACATTGACTACTTATCAATTAAGATTAATAATTTAATTTTAGATGACATTAATAAATTAGTAATTAAGATTAAAATTTTCCTAGTGAAATATAGACTGATTGGAATTGTGCATTGTCAATATATTTTTTGTAGACATATAGATAACAATTCATGCACTAAAAAAAATTATTAAAATCAAATTTAAAAAATGAGAAATGAAAATAATTATTGCCCTGGTACAAAAAAATCTTTGTTTTTAATTAATTGGAAATTAATTAAATTTATTGTATATTTATTGTAAATTAATGTAAATTAATTATAAATTAGTTGTAAATTAATCATTAATTGACTATTAGTTGGTGACAATTGATTAATTAGTCGATTAATAATCGTAGTTTCATTCAAGATACAATTAATGGCATCTTAAATTAAAGAATTAATTAATTAATTGCTATCATTATTGTTAATAGTTATAACCATTGATTTATTAATTAATTTAAGATAAAATTAAATAATTATTAAATGAGATTAATCAACTAATTTCAAATTCACTTGATTAACTAATTAAAAATAATTTCTCAATTAAAAAAATAAAAATTTCTTAGGAAAATATAAACTGTTTAGATTTTCTGTCAATTTTAATAATTTTTGTACAATAAATGTTGGTAAAAATTAGTAGAATTTTTTTCAGAAAGGGTAAAATTTAATTCGGAAGTATAGGAAAATTTACTATCAGTTGGTGACGATTTTTGAATTAATTAGTATAGCTTCAATTTATATTCAATGGCACCATCAATTAATTAATATAATTAATTTATAATTATTTATATTATTTACTTATATGTAAAGTATAATTATCTATAATTATTAATAGTATAATATTATTAATTATGAGTATTGAATAGTAATTAATTAAGACTAATTAATAGGATCCGTCATTGAATAATTAATAATAATTAAGAAAGACTAATTAATTAATTTGAGATACTAATTAATTAATTAATTTTAATCAATTAATTAAAAAAATTAATTGATTTTAAATGACAATTTTTATAATTTAAAAATTCAAATTTTTGGAGTAAAATATTTATCGGGATTTTTGCTAACTTTTACAATTTTTCAAGTAAATTTTAGTAAAACTTAGTAAAATTTTTTTGGTAATGTTAAAATTAAATTCGTAGATAAAAAAATTTACTCAGTAAATAATAAAAATTTGCCTATATAAGAAAAAATTCCACATCGTTTATATTTTTATTAAATTTTACTATTTTTAAAGTAAAATTTAGTAAAAATTAATTAAATTTGGTTATTCCGTAAAATTTCTAATAACTTTATGATTTATAGTAAATTTTACTATTTTTGAAGTAAATGTTCGTAAAAAATAGTCAAATACGTTTATTTTGGTAGTTCTGTAAAATTTTTATTAAATGTCTGATAAATTTTACTATTATTGAAGTAAATTTTAGTGAAACGTATTTATTCAAGTAATTTCTCTAGTTTTATTTAATTGTAGTAGAAATTAGTAAAATTCATTTACTCTTGTATTTCTCTCAATTTTTGTTAAATTTTATTGTAAATTTTACTATTTTTAAAGTAAATTTCAGTATAAATTATTAAAATACATTTATTTCGGTAATTCTGTAAAATTTTACTATTGTTCAAGTAAATTTTAGTGAAATGTATTTATTCTGTTATTTCTCTCAATTTTTATTTAATTCGTACTATTTTTAAATTTTACTATTTCCGAAGTAAATTTTAGTAAAAATTAGTAAAACCTATTTCAAAATTAGTAAAAAATTTACTCCAAAAATAGTAAAAGTTACAAAGGTTCTACTTCGTAAATAGTTGAAAGTTACTTTATTTTTTATTAGAACTTTAATATAAAAATCTTAATTAATTATTAAATTTACTATTTATAGTAAAATTTAACAAATAATTTTAGAAATTATAAATTAAAAATTTGAATTAAATTATTGATTTCTTATATATTATTAGACAACAATCAATCAAAAATTCAAATTAGCCAACATTTTAACAGACCACATTTTAAATTTGGACATTTTTATTTTTTCCATAAATAAAAAAAATTTCACAAAAATCACGCGACGATATAAAAATTATGCGAATTCCACAAGTTTTGCTGGCAAAAAAAAAATTTTTTTTTTCTCCAAGAATTTATCGTTACGTAAAGAAAAAAAAAATTTCGGCAATGTATGTCAAACGGATATATATGTCTCCTATATATAATAGGAATAGTAAAACTGAAAATTTGTGCAAAAATTCTATCTCTAAAATCTTCTCACGTGATTGATTTCTATTCTATAAATTGGTAATTAGATAATAAACAATATATTTGGCTTATGGTTTTTTTTCCTTTCTTTCGTTTATTATACGATTTTATTGAGCTCGATCGTGTGTTACTTAAACGACGTGATTGGAATATTATTAAAAAGTGAGATTTTGACGATCAAAGTCTCTGTTGCTTGTCTGACGTTGGAATGTTGAGCCAACAAAATTTATTATTCATATCACAAATCGAGAAAAAAAAATTTCACTTTGATTTCATTTTTCCGGTGTAAGGAAGTCGATGTCCGGAAGATGCATCTGATTAATGTCTCTCCTTTTCAATATATACGTTATGTAGGGGAATGTAGTCAAGGTTGGTCTACTGTCTAGGTAGGCCATCGCGATTTTTTGGACAAGTTCACTAGCGCCACCTACGCGCATGCTTGTCGAAGCTTGTCTTAGTGTAACCTAACTTTTTGTTCAATTACATTTTCGGAAAATCGAAAATTGTGTTTTCTGTGACGTCGGTACAAAAAAAGCTCAAAAAAAGTTTTGTGCATAATGTGAAAAACCATTAATAAAAGATAAAAAACAAATTGAATCGTCAAGGCAAGTATGCAGAAAATTTGTGGGACTCATGGTTGAAAGAAAAACAAAGTAAAAAATCGAATCCCGAAACGTATTTCTTTATGGTTACAACAATTCGGTAATGTTACTTACTGTCAAGGTCGGCCACTATGTGTTTAAAATGCGCAAAGATGAGGACGAGCTACTTCATTTGTAAAAACTGCAATTCTGTATAACTCATAATATAATTGATCATCTTATTAATATTTTTATTTAATTTTATTAATATTTTAGTGCAAAATTTTTTTTTATTTATATTTATTTTTTTATATTGTTTATTGTTATTATTTTGTTATTTCATTAAGTTACAAGCTGTAAACAATAAAGAATCAATTTTCCGTAACTCCAAACATGTTATTTTATTTTTTAACGATTAATGCCCTTTGAATTTTAAACATGGCCGACCTTGACTGTAATGGCCAACCTGGACTACAAATTTTTTTTTTTTTAAATCTTTATAACTTTTTCATTTTTAAACCAATCAATTTACTTTGTACAGAAAAGATGTTCCTATTAAACAGGACTTTCCAACCATATACTTCAATTGTCCAAATTCATTTTTAAAAAAAAGTTATAAACAAAAGTCAAAAAAGTGGCCGACCTAGACTATGTTCCCCTACGAATAAACAATAAAACTTTTTGTGTAAATTTTCTGCAAGTAAATAACGTGACTCTACTTTAGACTGTATGTTTGATTTTCTTTTGAGCGAACTGGAAGAAAGTTTTGTTTTATTATTTT